AGATTTTCAATATGTCTGCGAATAAAGAAGTTATAGGCAAAAAAAATATTTTAGGATTTTTTGGTTTTTCCTGTATATCTCCAGAACCAAAAGAGCTATATTCGATTTCTTCACATCATTGAATAGGTCTCTAAAATACACAACTTTGCCACAATTTAATCGACACTCTATCTCTTATCGTTTACGAGATCCCCATGTACAGAAACGAATTTGAATAGCCCTGTTTATTTCTCAAGAAATATAAAATTTGAACCTCTGATGTATTATAGATAATATTGATATACATTTTTCCTAACAATTTTCCTAGCATTTTGTCTCGATTTCCTCATTATCTACAAAGTTACTAACAGAATAGGGCTGAAACTCATCTAATGATGTTAACTTGGTTCGCAAAACTCATGTTGAGAAAAGTGTTCTAGTTCCGCTATGTGTGAGTTTCATTACATAATTTATTTCCCTGATATTATCAACACCATAAGATGGTATTTGATTCAGGGACGTTTTTTACAAATAGACAGCAACATTCAGTATTAGAAATGATTCAGATGAATAATCAAAGAATTCAATTCTATTTGTCAAACATCTTGATGTTCAGATTTTAACGTTGAATATTTTTGTTTTAGTTTTGAAAATATTTGGGACCGGATGAAAGTATGCTGGTGGAGATGGTTCTACAGTGATGAGTAGGAGAGGGTGGTTGACAACGGTGACTGAGAGGGTTGTAAATCAAACCAGATAAAAAATTATCCTAGTATGAGTATTAGATTAGTTTTTCTATTTATTCAACTTTGATTACAGTTTATCCTTTATGTGATGTAAAGAAATTAAAAGTGTTTTTTATTGGTAAAGTTTTTGTAGCTTGGTACATAGTCAGCAAGAGGTAAATGAAATAACGTAGTTAAAAAATCCACCAGCTGCAGACTACACATACGACACTTCATTGAAGTCAAAATACGTCTGAGCTAAGAATTGAGGATGTCTTAACTTTTGAAGTGGGATTCCATATGAGGATTTAATTTGTTTGTGGCAATTTACTGAATTTGTTTCCCAAGAATTTTCAAAGTGTCTAAAAATACTGCTTCCGTACTACACGAAGATGGTTTAAAGAGTTTTCGAAAATGTGTGCTTCACATAACAGACCTTTAAGGGATATCCCTGCTTTTAGAAGGATATCTTAAAGATGTCTCAAAGATATCTTTTGGTAAAAATATTTATATCTTCGAAATATCTCTGAAACACTTTTGCAAGATATCTTTAAAATGTACCTTTTGAGATATGTTTTGAAATCAACCTTAAGAGATGTTCCTGACTAATATATTTGAGACGTCAATGTTTGCATTTTAACGGAAAAAATATTTGTAATTTTTCATAAATATTTCAATGTAGTTGATTATGTTTCAGTAACATTAAAAATATTTATTTGCATTAGAAGCTCTTTGTATCCATAACTGAATCAATGATTCACTTTTTTTTATGCCATTCGTGGCTGCTGTTGCAGATTCTGAAAAAAAATGAAAACACGCCTGAGTGTATAATAAAAATAAACCTTAGATAGTTGTAAGAGCAGTAAAGAAGCACTTTATATTGCTATTATCATTATTTTATTACCTGCAAATTAAGTAGAATGGATTATTCAAAAACACTTTCTTGTGAGATTTTCACTAAACAGTCTTACAAATACGCAACAGGAGTTTTGCTATACAAAAGCATTATACTGTTAGTATAGATACGCCTGAAGAAGCTATTGTATAGCAAAACATGTGTTGCGTTTTTGTAAAACTGTTTAGAAATAATTAGAATCATGTAGCCCATCAATGTTATCCAAAGATGATATTTAAATGATAACTACTGTTGTCTCAACACATTGCGTGCCACGTTGTTCATATATGAAAGACAGCAACATTTCTGCAGGGGCTTCGGTCATATTTGAAAGACAGAAATCTTTCACCTGACAGTGTATATCAAAACTGAAAGACGCTGCCGTGCATTTCAAATAGGGGATCTTCTGCGTGGCTTCTGGGAAAAGTATTGTGAACCTTGGTTTGAGAAAAATTGGAATTATGAAGATTTGGTAGTACAATATATATAATGACTCAGATTAACCATCATAAGTAAGGAAAAAAAGTTTTTGATATTTTTTATTGAATAATCACAAAAATGAACAAGCATTCCTATTCCAGAGAATGATACCTAATATATAATTGAACAAAAATAAGAAAAATTAATGTGTTTCATTGAAACACGATGAACACATTTGTGGTTGCCCGGGACACTCTTTGCAATAATTTTGCGTCATTTTTGCTTTATTTTTTGCAACTATAAGATCTGATGTCTTTTGTAATTTTGAATAACATACGAAACAGTTCCGGACGGATTTTTTTTTTCGTTTTCACCAATTCTCACAGCTAGATGGTGATATGTAGTTGTAGATATAGGTACCCTTGGCGTTTCTGAGTGTTGCTCATGGCCAAGTAGGTTTGCTGCGAAAATATCCCTGAATGCACGGAATTGAATTTTCTTCTTAGTGGCCCGTTTGTACAGGACCCATGCATTTACAAGTGCTATTCCCAGAAGCAATTCCATTCCTAACTTCTTATACCATTTTACACCCTTTCGGAGAGTAGTGGCGTACGAGGCCATCTGGTCAGACAAATCAATACCAGATTTGCCTTTGTTGTAAGCCAAAATTGCCATTGGCTTTTTCTTTGCTTTTCGAGATTTTCTTTTCCTTGGTGTAACCAATGGTCTATTATTTATTTATTTATTTATTTGTATTTATTACCCATACAGTCCATTAAAGACTAATTACATGGATAAACTGTTGGCAAATACACTACAATGATAGCTATTAAATATAGATCTAGATTACTAAACTATTACTTACTGATACCAGACTTGTAGGGAGTTGTCCATAACTGCACTGAGTGGATTCGTCAAATATATGTTCAGTTTGACAAGAGTTCAATTCAATAGTTGTTCTAAAATTGTTTTACAAAAAACTGATAGAGGTAAGGTCCAATCTAAATCCATATGTAGATTGAAATTGTTTGCCAATTTAATCATAGCTAAAAGAGGTGCTCTCGATGATGTACATATTGAGGATTTCTGGGGAATTCGTTAAATTGTTTATTAATTTATACAGGAATATCATTGATGTTAAAGTTCGTCTCTGGTCTAAGGATATTATCTTGAATTCCGATCTTAATTGATATGTCCTGACGGTATTATAATTAGGCCACACGTGGTACTTTTTAAAATACAAATATCTCAACAGTTTCTTTTGTACTTTTTCCAAATTATTCAGATATGTTTGATATTCCCCTATTCCTATTGTCGCTATCTTGGGAGTCCTCAGATTCCTGTCTCTCGGTTGGTAAAGGGGAATCTCATCCACTAGTAGAAGGTTGAACGTTAGGGGTTCTGGAGGTACTAGCTATAGGCAGATCGTTTTCAGCAATTCTATTGGTTGGTACCATAATTGGAGCATGCTTTGTAGAGAGCAACCTCACATATCGCGTGTCTCTTCATTTCAAAATAACAATTCCGTTTTCATTCCGCGAGATACCATCTCCCCTCTTTTTAGTTTTGCGTGAAGAACTTCTTTTGGCATATTTTTTTTTTGTTGGCTGTTACGGTTCCAACAACATGTGTTAACTTCTCGAGCATTGTTTTGGCCAATTCATAGCTTGTTTTTTTGTAAAAATTATCAACGTATAGTGTCCTTCCTTGATAGAGCAGTTTCTGGCATAATCTCAAACAAACATTTGATGCTAATCCAAATTCACGTTGCCCATTCGCTGATTTCCCAGCATAGACTTCAAGTGCCCATGTGTAAACATCAGTCGAACAAAGTTTGAACAGCTTGATTCCATACTTATGAGCCTTGTTTGGGATATACTGCCTGAATATCAGACGGCCTGTCCATGGTACCAAAGTTTCATCTGTAACAATATCTTCATCAGGTTGAAATGGCGACTGAAATTCATTCTGTAAAATATCAGCTAGAGGTCGGATTTTTCCTAAACGGTCACCGTTTTGCATTGTTCGCATAGTGTCCTTCCTTGATAGAGCAGTTTCTAGCATAATCTCAAACAAACATTTGATGCTAATCCAATTTCACGTTGCCCATTCGTTGATTTCCCAGCATAGACTTCAAGTGCCCATGTGTAACCATCAGTCGAACAAAGTTTGAACAGCTGGATTCCATACTTATGAGCCTTGTTTGGGATATACTGCCTGAATATCAGACGGCCTCTGTCCATGGTACCAAAGTTTCATCTGTAACGATATCTTCATCAGGTTGAAATGGCGACTGAAATTCATTCTGTAAAATATCAGCTAGAGGTCGGATTTTTCCTAAACGGTCACCGTTTTGCATTGTTTCGTTGTCGTTTAAATGCATTAGAGTTAGTAGCAACTGATATCTGTTAGGTGACATAGTATTTTTAGGAATGTCTTGACGATAAATTCCCTTAGTCGCCCAATAATCTGGTAGTGCACCTAGTCGAACCAATCCCATCCACATTGTCAATCTCAAAAACTTTTTGGTTTCTTCTGGATAGGTAGGTGCCCATTTTTTTAAGCGGGAATATTTCTTCACTCCCATCGATGCTATAGTTTGTGCTGCAAATCTGTGGGTTTCTGTAACAATAAGGTTTATGACTTTATCATCTACGAGCACAAGGAATGTTTCAAGCGGAGTTATTTCAGGAGATAGTTCTTGTTGCGGTCCACTGAGACCAGTAAACTCAAAGTTCTTATGGCGTCCCACATATTCGCTCCAATCACAGGAAGATGATGGCAGCCCGTTATCTTCTTCAATTTGGTCATTATCTTCATTCAGAGCCTCTTCCATGGCCAAATCTTGAAGGGCTTCTTCAATGCCCGATGATTCTTCCTCATCCTTTTCATCAGATGGATCGAATCTGAATTGTGGAGATGCGGTGTCCAGAAGAAAATCCGGATCTCTCAAAGAATCATCAGAATCAAAGTCACTCTCATTATCAATATTTATTTCAGCTGCTATTTCTTCCAAATCCTTTTGAGTCAAGGTTCGACGACGTTTAGACATTGTCTCTAAGTAGGTATGTTTAGTTTTCAAACTGAGGACCTGCAACAAAAAAAAATCATGGGAAAAAAACGTCTTTAATATTTAAAAGTCGTGGCCACAAGCGCAAAATCTACATTTTTTTTCTACAGAGCCACGTCTTTCATAAATGAGAGACATCAAAAAAAGTGGGGGAACCTACTGAAAATAAACTATCAAAAAAGGAATAACTGCGAATATATTCGAATTTTTTATCCATTTCTGAAGACGGAGGCAGATTTTGGCCCCGAACGTCAAAGATAAGTATTATTTTTTAACAATTTTTTCGATAGGCAAAATTTAACTGATTTTTTCCTCCACAAAAAAAATGACTCGTTGAAAATTCGTGTATGTAAAAAAATATGACCTACAAACTGAAGCATTCAGATGTGTGAAAGAGATATCTCTAAGATATATGAGCTAATGTGATGTTGAAAACAAATATTTTTACTTGAAAGCCTGAAGTCCAGTTTGAGATTGAAGGTGATTCTTGTTGGTGGAATTTTATTTCAAAAAGTTAATATTTATATCCATCAAGAAGGAAAGAGGGAGTTTAAAGATGAAGTTTCATTTCCTCTGTGTATCTGAAAGAAAAATCTGTGGAGTTGAACGTTTTTCTTGAACAGTTTATCTGTTTTTAAGAAATATCTGTTCTTCTTCATAATTTCAATTTGATTTTTGAAGTAATTCACAATTTTTTCAACTGTTCATGAATTACATTGAATATTTCTGATATCTGATAGGTGAAAGAGCATTTGAATAACTCGGTTCTGAAGTTAATTAAAGAGCCTCTGAACCTGATGTTGAGGTTTTGAAAATCCGTTCAAAATGTTATTTTCAGGAGATAAGAAGGGACATTATATTGGGGGATCTTATGATAGATATAGGCAGCATACATTTCCTTTTAATTCTCATTATTCAATCATTCAATCAATCATTATTGAGTTTCTGAACTATTCTGTTACTCTCTTGGCTCCTACCGAGCAACGTCTAAATTGGTAGCAAATTGCCAAAAACGACTCTCCTCGATAGGAAGACTTAACAGATTGTCTCTGGTCTGGGTTCCTGGCCATACTGGCCTGGAAGGCAATGATGCTGCTGACTCCCTTGCAAAGGAGGGTACTGCAAGCATTTTCATCAGACCAGAACCTGTCATTGGCATAGCTTTAGGCTTTGCCAAACAAAGATTGCCTGGATGGCAAGAAGATTTATGGACTTCTGGTAGAATCTTCCAGGATTGGCTCACTCCAAGGCGTTTATTCACCCTTCGGCAGAGCCGTACTCATACCATCTGACCTGAAAGACCACTCATCATGCAAACTAATCAGCTTCCTTTAGAAGCTGGGTTTATTTGGTCGAGCGTGAGTAGGTGTGAGCCACAATAAACCCTTGCGGGTTGCGGTGGAGGGTCGCATAGACCCACTCACTTTGGACCTAACCTAACCTATTGAAAATGATAATTTTATATTTGTCTGTGTTGATAAAAAACGAGTATGCAGTTACCAGAATTGACTGATACCATGGTCAACATTTTGCAGGGTTTTTGACATCTGAATAAAAACTGCGATAGAATTGCATGTTGATTACATGAAGATGTGTAGGTTTCAAGTTTCCCGAACAAGATGGACAAGTAAACTGTAAAAATTGATACCTGTAGAAAACCCTCTTTCATTTTCAGATTATTCCAGACCTGAGAATCCAATCAAACTTGCTGCTTTCTATCTTCTGGAGAACTCATTATGAGTTTGCCGTTTCTGGATAACCTCATGTAATGTAAAATATGTAATAAGAGTTTATGATTCGAAGTGTCCAATGCTCTGCTGAAATTGGGTAGAACCAAGATTGCCCACTTACGCTGATCACCCTCATCATTGATATGTAAGAGTGCATTTGTGTATAACTATAACGTCTTATTCCAAATCCAGACTATTAGTATAAATAATTGTTTCTCAAGATGTTCTCTTTATTGTTATGTTATTGTTTCTTCTAAAACTTCTGACAATGACAAATCTTCAAATTCACAAATTTTTTTTTTTTTGGCGGAACATAGTCACTATATTCCTCCACACAGAAGGAAAGCAGCCATATCCAATTAGAGGTTAAAATTTATATTAACGTTATAAAATTTACTTACTATGGAATGTCCGTAGCTCAACAGTTGTGAAAGCAACTTTTGTGTAGTAGAAAATAATTGAAACCAAATGAAATTTAACATAATCAAACAGTTGAATCATAGTGCAAGCTATCATCCAAATAAGAGCTCTTGCTGATTAAATGCAAACGTTAACATCTTCGTTTTTCACATTGAATTACACGAAAAACATTTTTTCATTCCGTCTGTTCAACAAACATTTGTTATGAAATTGAAACCTGTATCATTCACATGAAAACATTACAATGTGATAAATGGAAGAACACTGTTATAGAATTTCACTTACATGGAAATCTATCATCCTTAGGGTGTACTTCTAGAAGTTTCAGATTACTATTGCTTGCACTTGAACTGTTCACCTGTGAAAATAATGTTGCATGAAACTATGCATGATCATTTGAAAATGTGAAATACTAGTGAAAGACAAATGAGGAATCTAATTTCGATAATAATTTCTGACTGTTAATATTCATATAATAACAGTATTTACATTTTTTCCTGAAAAGGAGATTTGTGTTACCAGTATATTAGTTAGTTCTAAATGTTGAATAATTGCTGGCTTCTGCTAAATATAATTATTATATGGTAATTATATGAAAAAGAGGCTTTCTAGAATGATGAACTGAGGCTAACTTTATCTTATCTGATTCTTTTACATCCCGCAGGATAACTTTCAATCGCCTCCCCTCAGGATATCATTCAACAGAGAATGTAGTAAAAAGCTTTGAAGAGGTGCACAACCATATCACCCCTTAGAAAAACCCGCAATTTTCCCGAAGGAAAAACAGTTATGACTGATATATTATAATGAAATCCATGCTGAAAGTTATTGAGTAGTATGCAATGATTGTAAATGGAGGTTACTAACACCAATTTGTAGACCAATTGTCTCATTTGGAAATTGTCAATATTGAATAGGTAGTTTTTTAGACACAGTGCATGATAGTTTTAGTGAATTTGTTTGATACATCCTATTTCTAAAGGTAAGTGTACATATATTCTTCATTACACTATTTTGATCAGTATTATAAACAAGTTTGCAACTTAGAATATCAAAAATATATATATTTTTAATCATGTATTTGTATGGCTAGAGGAATGTGAATAGAAGTGGTATTTGTGACATTGTCACAATAATACAGTTATAATCAACGTTATTAGAGGAACTTATTCTTTCCTTTTGAACTTACCACCTAAATTTAAGTCTTGAGAATTCAAAATGATTCGAAAACACAAAGTTAAAACCCTCTATGTAGAGTAAAAAATTTGAAATCAAAGATAATATCTCATTCGAAATCGTTACATCCATCCTCGTGTCATCCCGATCGATAGAATCCTATCTTACCGACCATGACGCACACCCTTCTCGTCACGGAATGACAGCAGTCGATCTTTCAGCGGACCAAACGTAATTAAACCTGATTCGGACCAAAAAAGTTTTGAGTATAAAAATAGTATTTTTGTATGTGCTTTAACGTATACAAGGGATAATTAGTCGCCGGTTCAGCGTATTGTCAGTGTAAGTGATTTGTTTTTGTCCGTATCGCCATTTTTGCAAACCACTTGTTAACAAATCTGTTATTTGATTGTTTTGGATCATGATTAGACTGTAATTCACATTGTCGTGTGTTAATTAACATTTCCTGTGTTTGTCCGGCCTTTTTTGCAGCGGTATTGTTTTGCCAAAGCAGGTTATGTTCCGGTAAGTTGGACTTGAATTTTGTAAACATTAACATTTTACTACTATCAAACTTCATGAAATTTGATATTTCTTAGTTAGATTTTACTTCTGTGTGTGGAGATACATTTGAAACGATCTATTATGCATTTTTTGATTCATTCTAAGTTACAGCATTAGTTGTCATTGCCTTAATTAATTTTTACAAGCATTGTTTTGTTTTGCTATTTGCATCAACTTTCAGCGCCAACCTATTTAATTGGTAACGACTATGAATCATAAAAATATTATTGAAGATTAATATATGCATTTATGTTTTTTCTATCAGGTAGAGAATTGAATGCTGTACCTTTGTGATGGTTTTCGAAAACTGTCCTACGTTAATTTCAATTTTATTAACTACTTAACTGAATCTACAAATGGTACTAGGTATATACGTCATGGTTCATATTAAGATGTTTGATGGGTGGCTCATTGCCAATTACACATGGTTTGTTACATTTATGTCTATTTATAGGGATTTTCAAAATGGTTTGGGATTGAGAGTGGGTCAAATTGTGGCAAAGTTGACAATTTTCGGGTATTATTGAATGGTATCTGAAAATTGACTATAACTTTTGATTCCGGATATATAGGTACCTACGGGAAAAATCGAAAATTTCGAATTTTTTGCTGTAAGTACAATTTTTATTTGGACTATCCGAATATGATTACAAAATTTGTATGCAGGGTATCGCCTAACGTGGGTATCCTCAACTCAAGTCAAGTTCAGGCTTGAATTTTTTATGATTATTATTTGATCGGTAATGTTCGTATATTATCGTAAAGTTTTTTCGATATTCTCGAGAAATAAATTATTATTTTTTATCACGGTTGTGATAGTCGCTCGAATGAAAACATTTCTAAGTATCTTTATGTATCACTTTATCAAGTACCTGATATGTGTTGAAACAAACCTCCAATCAAAAACATCCAGAGGTTTAGAAGAACTTGAACTTCTATGTTCAGCCCCCATTCTGGATGGAGTGGTATTCAATCGGGATTGTTATTGTTTAAGAAACATCGGCTGGAATTGATCTCAAAGTGTAACATAATTTATCTTTCCTAATTCAAAGCTCATATGGAGTTCTTGATAAAATAAAGAAGATAGGTACAGCAAAAAATAGAAATTTTAAATTTTTATCCTGCGAAGTTGACACTATATGAGAAAATTTTCAGTTTGTAGTTGATTTTTTTTGTATTCATTATTCAAATTACTGTCACTATTATTATTTTCTATTCTTCGATGGCATGGAAAACAAATCAATGTTTCGTAGAATCGACGACCAGGAATGACGTATTTGGTAAGTGTAAAAAGTCGATTTTCAATGATTTTTGAAAACTTATTTAGCCCTATTTCTAACTTCTCAGACATGACGGCGGAGAAAACTCTATAAACTCGATAAATATATGAACTTGTTTTTTCTCTATATGATTATCGAAACGTTCACATGAATAAAACAATCCCTTAATCCCTGAAACGTTTTTATATTTGGGATATGGTGGAGGTCCCCTGCGCCTCCACCAAATGTCAGTAATAAGATTGTTCCAGTCAACTCAGTGAACTAAAGTTATTATTTATTTGTGCTGAGAGCACATTTACTGCTCAAACTATATCATGTCGCAAAAGATGAAGGCCAACTTAGAAATGTTAATCCTATTTTCAATCAAAAATCAAGAATACGGATACCTTCGCATTGATTATACCCATCAAACTTAAGTGAATTGAATACCATATCTGCGACATAATTTTGAAAATAAATAATAATTTCACGAACAATTTTTTGTTATAT